ACAATAATCTGCAGGTTAGAACAGAGTAAGCAGCCCCCACGTTGTCCAGCTGTGCCTTCAATGGAAAGCAAGGAGCGTTTTGCAGTCCAGTTGTATTTCTGTCAAAGAAAAGTAGGCCGCATCCTGTCAAATTCAACATCAACCTCGAATAATATTACAGCAAGCTCACTGCAGTTTATAGCAGCTTGGGAAACCTGCAAAGCAACTGAAAAGGCAAAAGGGCAGCAACACACACCAAAGGGTCTGAAAAAACAGCGTTTTTGTTGGGCTTTAAAAGCCGCTGCATTCAAATCTACGGAATCCGAAGGAATTTTAATGCTCTGAATATTGTAAAGAGAACCTATAAAGATGCACACGCATACATACAGTAAATGTTTATGTGCGTTTCCAATGGAACCTCAGGGTACCTTTAAACTCCCGCCTCACATTCCAATTTGTACTATTCTGCTCCAGCACACAAAATCCCATTCTCCCGCTCTGCCAGGAGATTATCAATGAGCAGGACTCCACGCAGAGATGGGCCCCTCTCAGGAGGATCTCATGTGTTATTTCAAGAGAAAGGTCACAACCTATTTGAAATCCTACTTTCAATTCTTATAGAATCTGACAGGGAAAGTCCATGTCTTTATTTACAGGCAAGTTTTGCACCAATGTTTTCTGAGGATGTCGGATATTTACTCTTTCAGAATTCTAAACTATCAGCAAAAACGGATGCAATGCCTGTGAGATACAAGGGGATACAAGGAATGAAAATAAAATACTGGGATATACAGTAAATACTGCAAAGCGATGCGTCTGCATTGTATCGCTAACAAATGGTCGACGTGAAGGCTGATTTAAACAGTCGCTGTAAGAATATGCTACAGTGGTTATTGTCATCATAGAAGTACATGCATTTTTAATTGGAAACCATATGAGACTGACATTTACAACCCGCCGTAATTACGAGAGGATAATTCACTTTTAATCTTTCATCTCATACCAGGGGGCAAATTCGAATAATGCCCCGAAAACTCTGCTCCGTTTGGAACAAAAAGAAAATCATGGTTTTTAAAGCTACCACAAGGAACTCTCATTGTGTGTTGATTTTGGCGGTGTGTGTGTGTGTGTGTGTGTGTGTGGACAGAAGCAGTACTGTTCCCTTTGGAGAACCTCAAGTTTGTGGTGAACCTGCACATTCCTGTCCGGTCTGTCGGACCGATGACGTGCATGAAGAACTACTAAATAGAATAATCCAATCTTCTCTCTGATGGGATGCTCTGCTTATGTAGGTCATATGGAGGCATCAGTATTCAACGCAGAATGTTTCATAACCACATTCCAGTTTCTCACGGTGACTTTTTAACGAGATGCATTTTACTGGATCCTTGTTGTTCGGCTTTCATCTGCTGCGGCCGCGGAGTTGTTTTGTTTATGTCATCACTTTGGATTTGGCAATACATCAATTTCTCATTATTATTCTGCCGTCCGAAGCCTGGCACCTGGTTGTGTTTGCTAAATTCTCCAGATTCTTCACCTTCTGACGTGCGGCTTTTTCAGTGACTCTCTGCCAAGTTTAACCTCACAAGATGTTTAAATTACAGGAAGAACCTGCAGTGTAGTGGACAAGAATAAACACAATCAAATAACGTACCTCCAAAAAGTCCCCATGAATATTTCATTTCCAAATGTGTTCTCCTTTTGAGAGTTTATTTATTCTTCTCATCTTCTGCATTTATCAGGCAGCCTGTCAAGACCGCCCTCGGTGTTCTCCTGTGTGAAACGGAGTTCTAGCTTTGCCTTTAAGTGCATCACAAACAGCGCACCTTACAGCAGCATTCGCTCCAAAAGTCAAAACTTCGTTACGACTTCCATACTGACCAGCGCTGCACAGACACGCAGACACACACACACGGAGTGCACGGGTCGGAATGTTTCCGTTGTGACATTTGGCGTGTGATCATTCTACGTGTGATGGAGAGCTATTCAGCAGATCTTCAATTAATGTATTTGAATTGTGCGTTTTCTAGACAGCGGTCAAGCGCCACGTGCAATCAGTGCCACATGAAATATAATTATCCTGCCTCTACTAGACATTACTCCTGTAATTGCACAAAAATCTCACACATTTAGCTAATAATCAAATGATGGGAAACTAGCAGTCAAACGGGGAACCTGAGATCTCTCCACCCAAGTAGTCACTAGTGAGAACAATTCCTGCTATAAAAGGTTGTTGTTTGACGTCCCCAACTTGGCTGATGCATCAAACAGTAGACGGAGTCATCACTTGCCATCCAGACGCCTTCGAGCAAAGCACGCAAATCAAGCTTAACCCGCAAACGTCACCGATGTTCCCAAACCAAACTGCCAAAGAGGAGTCTTTAACATCACGCTGTTCCAGGCCTCCTCCCTCCCAGCGCGGGCGCGAAGCGCGACCGGGATGAGAGCCGAGTCGCGTGGCCAAATAACAAGCACGGAGTGAAACACCACAGTGGATTAGCTGGTGAGCGACGTGCTCCAGCGCCCATGCAGGCAGAAACACCCGCCCCACCGACATGCAGACGGATCCCACTCATCAGCTTGAGTTAACCGGGTGACCCGTCAGGGTGACGATAGATTTGCATTACAATTGGTGTGTGTGTGTGTGTCTGTGTGTGTGTCAGAAGAACCAAAAGAGTACCAGAGCTTCCCTATTGCCCCCTGACTGCAGTCAACATGGCAAGAACAGCTGACGTGGCACAACTGTTGACAGAACACAAGGGACAGGACTCCCTCCCAGGTGTGTGTGTGTGTGTGTGTGTGTGTGTGTGTGTGTGTGCAAAGGAAGTGCTCTATGCCACCGAACCCCCCCCCACCCCCCCTGAAAAAATTGCTCGTTTTTAAGGCACGGACTCAAACCCGGCTGCTGTGTCGTGGAAGAGTCACAGACGCTCCAGAGGCGCGAGCTCTGCACAGAGAGCTATTTATAGCTCAAATGATGACGGAGCAAAAGGCATAATGATGTCATGGCGATATTTAAATGGCTTAGCGGCGTTGCCCTCGGTGTAAAAAGAAAACATTTTCAACTCATACAAGTGAGCTTGCGCTGAGCAACCAAAACATGATGATGATGATGATGATGATGATGATGATGAAGGTGCAGTAATTTAACAGTGAGCTGAGTAAACTCAACTAGTATAACTAGTATAAGTGTAACAACACAATATGTGGTGCCGACATAAAGTCCTGATCTAAAATGATCAACTTCTCCTTCGTTCATTTATTTAATTAAATCAATTAACAGACAGTTATTTGCAGAACACACACCAACATTTTATCTTTCCAACTGGCGCTGCCTGTCCGCTGCTGGGAGTGAGCTCACCTGTCAGTGTTTGCCCGTCGGGGCGGAACCGTTCACCAGTCACCAGTCAGGGCCCGTTCACGCTCCAGTGTTTGCCCTACTATTACTATTACCGATATCATGGTAGACGCTGACTGGTGAAGGGGCCCTGACCGGTGACTGCAGTGTTTCCCCTACTAATAAATAGGGCTCCCAAAGCAGCACCTCGTCTCTGCAATCAAGTCTGGGTTTGTTTAAGTTTAAACCCCCGCCGTCCCTCCTTTAGGTCGGTCCGTCCGGCCTAGATGCATTACGGGACACGTAGCTTGGGGCCTTATTCATACAAGAGACTAAAAGTTTGATTTCTTCCATTATTTCTTTAGAAAAGCGTAGCGGTTGTTCAATGAATTCAGTAAACATTCTCTGCTGGGTTTTCTATCACAGAAAACCAACATCCATCTGTGCTGCAGTGCTCGGACCGAATCAGCCGTGTGAGGAAGTCCCGTTTGGTCTGGGAGATTAGAAAGGGGCATTAGAGTTCAACTCGGATTAGAGCTGTATGAGTTTTCTCAATAAAATGTCACAAAATACTGAAAACTGTGCAGCAAAATACTTGAAGTACAGTCAACCGTCTAAATCCCAAAAGAGATTGGACGGACATCAACGTTAGACATTACAACAGAGAAAACCTGAAGAAAATAAATACTCTTATTATTTCTAGCTTTTGTTTTTGTCCTGAACACTTTCACACTAAATATGTAGATAGATTATTGTACTTTTCACAATAAAATAGCTACAGCTATTTGCAGGCCATCACTATGTTGTGTCCACTGCCAGTGTTTTAAACTTATATGAAAATATGTCTGTACTCAAATCTGTTGACAATGTATCAGTGATCATACCAATAGTTTGCACTGTGCCTTTAAGAGGCGCGGAATTAATTATGAGTAACATGATATCATTATCTGTTTGTTTTAAACATCGTGCCTGTCGTCAATACCGCGCGTATCGACACCGCGGTCCTGTATCGGGGCTGATCGATATTCTGTGATACAAACATTTGGATTTCATCCGCATGACGTGACTGCCGCTTCATTACGTGTTCTGAACCAAAGTTTGACCAAAGACAAAGTACAATCCCAAGAATGGAGCACGTTCAGAACACGCACTACAATCAGAAGTAGTGCGTGTGGTGACCTCGGAATGTGTTGTCGGCCTTCGCTTATAAAACATTACGCAACAGCTTTGTGAGTGCGTTGTGATTGTCGCGCCGCGCGGATCTCCCAAGCAACTACGTCGCTTTAAAGAAAAATAATAATAAAATGTCGGGGGGGGGGAAATGGAATATAAGTCAGCAGCTAAGAATCCAGCTTCGCTCGTTGCCTAAGCAACCAACGGCACCAAACAGATGCGTAAAGCTGCTCCACAGCTGCTTCTCCTGACCCAATCAAGCAGCCAGTCACACCCACCGGACTTCACGCGCACACGCCCGGACACGCACGTGAAACGCGACTGACGTTCGTGGTTTTAATAAACACCCCTGGGGGCTCCACAGCACGCAATACGCATGGCAAGCGGGCCGTGGTTGGCGGTGGCACCGAACGCGCGCCGGGGGGGGGCCAAACGGCTTCGCGTGGCGGCGCCCCCGCGTTTTTTTAGCAGAGGGACCCATGTGGACCTACTCGGGGGGGTGAGAACTTACTTTTCCTGCGCGGCGTTCTCCTTGATGGCTACCAGGCCGGAGTGGTTGCCCTGCTGGAGCCTGCAGGCGAGCAGGTGCCGCTGGTGCTGCTCCTTCAGGCACACGTTCTCCTTGCAGAGGTCCGTCACCTGGAGCTCCAGCTCCTCGATCCGGACCCGCTGCTTCTCCAGCAGCCCCTGCTGCGTCTCGATGATCTTGTTCAGCTCTGCGAGGTACTCCACCGCCTTGCTGGGGTTCTCCGCCGGGTTGTCCATCTCGTAAAAGCCCCGTTGCCCGTCCATCGGGGAGGCGAGACGGCAGCCAGAACAAGCACCAAAAGCAGCGCGTTCTCCCTTCTTCTTCTTCTTCTTCTTCTTCTTCTTCTTCTTCTTTACTCACGCGCGCTCAGTAGTAACGGGACCGAGCGCTGTCAAACCCCGAGACCCTCCTCTGCGCCGACATGGCACCTCGCTTGTTATTTCAGTCGGGTCCTTCTGGCGTCTTTTATCCAAGAAGTTGGTTCGGGTGCGCTGCTGTACGCCGCCCGCCGCCCGCCGCCGCGTCCACACTCCGCTCTGCGCCGCAACAGCCCGACTAACCTCCAGCCAGCCGCTCCGTGCGTAGTGGTCGTGTTGATGAAGTGGGGAGGGGGCGGGAGGGGTTATTAACCCTTTCGGTGCTGCAGATTCAGGCGCCTGCGCGTGGCGGGGAGGTTTACGCGCGCGTGCCGCTGAGGGGCGAGTTTGTTCTCAACAGGTTGCGTCTACGCGGTCACAGGTGCACGCGGTCACCTCGCCGCGTGGTGTCAGCTGTGGGTTTGCACGTGCAAGAAAGAGGTGGCGGCACCTCCGCTGCGCTCTGCGGTCAGAAAACGGCAGGTCCATTTGCCCGGGAGGCTGGAAAAAAAAGCCTCTTCGGATGGGGTGGATGCTTTTAAAAATCGTGGCAGCATTTTAAATATCATTAGGAAGAATCCACTTTTAAAACTTTTCAGAAACACCTACTAAAGAAATATACATTTTGTTTAATTTAAAATGTATGCTGCTTTTCCCCCATAAGCGTCAGAGAAGCAAGAAGCAGTTTGTAACAGACCACCTCCGCTGCATTCTGCCTGCTGGCCACCAGGGGGTGTTTCCTCTGGTTGTATAGAATTCTATGAGAAAATTCTTCAGGGTGTGCATCAGGGCTGGCTTACTGTGATTGACAGCTCGCTGTTGCTCCACCCTTACGTAGATATGAGTGACATGTTCCAGGAACGTTGCCACAGTGTGTAATCCTGCTAAGCGGGCCACAGCCGCTAACATTAACGTTTTACATTGTTGGGTCCCTTAACAGGCAATTATTTTAATTGAAATCTTCCAAGAATCCTGATGCACTGCTGTTTCATGCTACAATACTTTTTTTAAAGTAGGCTTCAGCATATGAATCGGTTATTTCTTTCTTTTCTGCAAATATGCTTTTGAGGAAGAGGACTAAACTGTTTATTTCATGCTATTAATTTAGCCAGGTGGTGTTTCCGGCACAGGTCACTGTTCTACACCTGGAAGCCACCTCGATGCCCATACCTCATCCCATCATGCCCAGCTTCTCTCTTCAGTTGGTGATTAATTCATTTTTATTGTTGTTATTCACATATTTAGATTCTGTTCTGATACCCATACCACCCATTGTACTTAAAGACTAAAATACATAGCAGGTCAGAAAGACCGGGATGCGCTACAAGCATCTGGTTGTGTTTTGCAGCATACGAGCCAACATGCTTTCTGGTTATTCAACCCACAGTCATTTGAGCCGCAAATATTTCAACTAACAGGTCAGGAGATCGAGGAGCTTTTGATATCCGGTTAAATGCGTACTGCATGAAACCGAGCGAACTCGCTGAAAGTGGAAAAAGAAAACACAGCTTATGTGTTACATCATGGTGCGTTACAATCCATCGGCTGTTGGATTATATGACTATGCGTCTGTTCAGCAGGTTCCAACATCCCCCCCCACCAAGGCTTCAAACCCAGAACCCTTATCGACTTACCTGATGTCACCCAGTAAAGGTGGAGTGTGAGAGGTCACCCCGGGTGTAAATGTTGTAAATAGGAATTGGACAGCTTCCTGGGGCATATTTTCCACTGCAATGCCTCATCTTCATGATACCGAGGCTGAATTGACCATATGATACAGAAATGGACATAGAGGCAGACATGGTGTCCGTGTGACTGACTCCAGGTTTGTTGCACGCTGGGACGTATTCTCTGTGCGTTGGGACGTGCAGAGGCCCGAGCACATGTGGCGCCCCGGCATCATCCCTCACACTCGCACGTCCGATGGTTCTTTCACACGGCCGTCGCCCTCTAGTGGTCAGCCGGCATCAGGGCACCCGGTGCAGGCAGTGAATGGGCTGGTGGTGGTGGTGGTCCAAACTCAGGGCCCAACCTCCGGCTGACGGGGCAGCGGATGGGAGGCCACGTGCACCCCACCCAGGCACAATGTCGGGTTTCCCAACGTGCGCCCCCCCCCCTCCACTGGCAGTCACCTTTCAACTGCTTGGAGGGGAGAGAAGATGCGGAAAGATAACACGAGCAACTGACAGGAAAGAACACACTATTATTTTTTCCTTGTATAAATCTCTCGAAGCATTGAGGGGAGTAGAGACAGTGTGATCTGTGGAGATATATCTTCAACCGCCTCTTCCCTCCTCAGGAGTTATTTTTAGAAGCTCAAGGTATTCTTCTGATGCCCCGTCTGTGCACAATATAGTATGAGAATTCCAGTCTGATCACAAAAGGGCCAACGTGTGATAGAAGGATCAGTCCGAATAAGAGCGAGACCGACTCAAATAGCCGAGGTGTGCGAGTCACGCTCCGCCGCATAAGTAGGAAGAAGAAGGCACGCGGCGGATGGGAGGACACGCGTGATTCTGTTCAATGGCGCCGGCCCCCCGGGTTGTGATTCACTTGGGCTGCCGATTGCTCCTCATGGTTTGGGAAAGGCCCGTTTTTTTTCCTTTCCTTCCCTCACCAAGTTGTTGCTGGAGAGGAGGCGGATTTATACCTCCGATTGCGGAGCTGAAGTTTTTACGGCCCTCAGATGAATTGTTTGAGGGAGGTTAGCATTTGATACCCATCTGCTGTTATTTGTCCCTGAAAAATAATTTGGATTCCTGCGCTTTAAACTCCTCTGCAGAAATGTGGAGGGGTTTAGTAGGGTTTTCCTGATTGGGAGAATGTGTCCATCAATGGGAAATGACCAAATAAAAAAATAAAGTGGAGTATTATTTTTGATTATAACCGAACACTTTGTACTGAGCAAAGATGTTGTGACGATGTGCTCTGACTGTGTGAAACTGGGTGGCACGTTAATCGTGATGTCTTAACAATATACAGAGTGAGTCTTTATTTAGTTTTTCTTCTGTCCTCATTGCGGCACAGCGGGATGCTTTGTTTCAAAGATAAAAGTAAATATTGGTTTTGTAAATATGAAGAACGCACAAAGACGTCAAAGATGGCTCTTTGTGTGCAAACAAATAAATGAACCAGATATATGGAGAAAACCACGAGACAAGAGAGAAAATAAGATTTATGGAGTTAACATGTTTGCGGTTCTTTGTAGAAATTTTAAAAAAGAAATTCAAATGTATTTTTTTCCTAGGAAACAGTTCATAAGAAGAAATACCACAAAGTCTAAAGCTGGTACTTTTCTACTATAATAAATGAACTAGCTTAGAAACCGTTAAATGGATATCTGAATTCAACATAGTCACATTTCATATTTCTATTTGAAAGTATACCATTACACCACACAGGTGCATGCACAGAGGACTTTGCTGTATTTGGCCCCAGACACCGGACCTCCCACTGCGTGTGCCGTGGTGAAAGTGAGCCTGGCGTTATAACGCCGTAGAGCCTGACTGACCGGTGAACTCTCATCCTCTGGATACGCACAGCAGCCGGAGTGCTGTTAATTCAGCGGCGGGAAACGTCAATCACCGGCAGTAACGGTTACGGCGTTGGACTCGCACCACGGCATAAAAACCAAAGGCTGAGTTTTGGAACACAAAGCTGCTACAGGACATAAAACCCCTGCTAGCAATTGGCCCACACGCCTACGTGCAATTTCTCTCCTCTGGTGAGCCCTGAGATCTGATTGGTCAAGCCAAAGACACCACAGGGGTCCCAGTGGTCTCTATGCTGCAACAGCAACAGACGAGACGATGGGAATATAAAGAGTGAATGAGGACCATTGAAAAAAAAAACACTAAAGCAATTTTCTAATCGGAAAGAATTGAGCGCACTAAAGCAGCTAATTAGTTTCGAAATTATAATTTAGTTGATTATAATTGCTACGTGTGTGGACTGCAACAGGAAGAAACACTGTGAAATTGGCAAACAATCAAAAATGAATCCGATTCTTTTGAAAATCATGTGTATAGCAGCTCTAAAGAGTGAGGTGTGCAAGTTTTCCCTCAATGTTCTTTTAATACAAATGGCTCGTATGACGCTGCACATTCGTTCCGTCTGCAGCGGTGCACAGAATGACGCCACACAAGCTCAATATGTTGCCGCCCTTCTTAAGTCTTCTGCAGACGACACAAATATGACTTTAGGCGTCCAATCGCCAAACAGCGTTTCCTGCTTCCACAATGGACACGAAGATTCTCATTATCTCACCTGTTCACCATTTAACCGTTTCAAAATGATCAGTTAGACGTCCTCGTAAACTCTTTTGAGGGAAATATATATACATGAAAAGTATGTCTGGGCCCTCGCCACAATGAAAATAAATAAAGGAAAGAGCAAAGGGGGACGCCCTTAGATAGGGCTCGTTACTAAGGCCACCGACCCAGCTAGTTAAACTGGTTAATGCAAGAGCAACAAGAGCAGCAGTTGTTGTCTGATTATCCACCTGAAGGATACCAAAGTTGAAGACGAGATTCCAAAAAATGGAAAAAATACCTTTGCACCGCTGGTCAATGTCCCGACGCGTCACACTGTGACTCAGATCAAACTCCTCTTCTGTCAGGTTTGACTTTCTTAGTATTACATTCATGCATTCCAGTTGATTACATCACATTAATACAATCATAGCTGTGCATTGGTATTATTCTATTGATTGCAGTTTTAAAATGACAGTGGTGTTACACTATTCTTTATTGATTACATCGTTTCCAAATCATGGCTCTATGCTGGTGTGTACACTAAATACATTTGATTAATTAGGTCTAATTTATGAACCAGGTCATCAGTTCATTTCTAATAATCTACACGGGTAACGTGTTTGTTTTTTTTTCAGCAATTCACACGACCTGCTTCATCCCACATGCCCTGACCCCCCCCCCCCCTTACTACCGCCAGGCCTACGCGCAGTACCGTGACACCACTGAGACTAGTGCGTATTGATGATCATGTAGATCACATGACAAGGATGAGTGAAGCTGGATGAAGTTATGACAAAATATTAGAGCGAACAGGGAGCCACAGCTCGCCATTGGTCTGCTTTGTTTGTTTGTGTGACTGGTTATTTCTCCTGCTGTCTGGAACACACACGCATGACAGCAGTCAGCTGGCTCTTGGCTGCCCTCCTTTGTGCTCCCTTCAAATGCAATTTTGAAGAGAGGAGGACGTGAGCTGCTGCGAAGCGTCAGATCTCTTGGCCATTGTCAGAGCTCTTTGATGCCAATACGATACCGAGGCTCCTCTCGGGTTTCTAATAGCAGGGCTTGTAGTACCACGCAAGACTGTGGGGCATGTAAGATTTAAGCCGTGCATAT